GGGTATTTTGTCTCAGCAATGAGAGAAAAGTAACCAAGACAAATACACTTTGGGAAATACTAATTTATGAACTTGCAGGAAGGAAAGGCTAAGTTTTCATGTGCTATGGTATTGAGCAGTTGTAATGTTGAAGCTGAAGTGATGGTTCCAGGCTGATCGAGGAAGGGAACTATTTACTCCCTGAGTAACTATTTACTCTCTTACCATGGACTCTAAATAGGCTATTTACCAGATTGCTCTGAGTAAAGAAGTACAGGAATTAACACTAAAATCTCTTGAGATGCTTCCATAAACTGGAACGTCAATGAAACAGTATGCCAGGTGCCTAGGAACCCGAGCCCTGGAGTGAAACAGACCTGGCTCAGATGCCAGCTGCCAGCTGCCAGCTTACTACTGATGTGACTGTATATGAGCCATAGTTTTCTTATGAATAAGATGTGTGTAATAATACTGTCTCTCAGTTAATCCATAGAAGCATATAGTACAAGAAACTTATATTTGAGCAGAAAACTAGAATTTGAAATTACTTTGTCTCATGGTACCAACGTCAAGGCCATGACAGTATCTGGAGATATAGCCATATTCTGCTGTTGAATAAGTATGAGCAGAACATGGGGTTGGTAGCACTGACTGTAAATACGGTAGATGATTTATTTATCAGAAATCTCCCAAAAAAGGCTTTCACCAAAAAATTAGTGTTCCATGGACTCTGTGAATTTTGCTGCACAGATGTGAAGGATGCATCAGGGGTCACAGAGCTCCTGGATCAGTGATGGCAAACCTTTTAGAGCTTTCAGTGATACACACTGTGGCATGTGTGCCACAGGTTCCCACCACTGTTCTAGGTCTTTAATCCATCATCATGTGGCCAGTGCTACAGAGAGAGAGGTTGGGGCTGGTGTATAGATGAGTGCTGGGGTGGTGTGGCATGTGGAGGGGGAGGAGATGAGGAGGGCTCAGTGAGGGTGAAAGGACAAAATACAGCAACTGCTAATAGGGTGGGACTTGGGGGACAGAAAATTATGTCCCAAGAAAAATGTTGGGATGTTTCTTTATGGTGCATGGTATCAAATCCCCAAGAAACCCTGTTTTAATGAAACCTACATTAAAGGACTGCGTTTGTTTCAAGCTTTGATTTGTGTTTCCTTTAAATATGAAGTTATGATTATACTGAGACACATGAGCCACTGGGTTTATTAGGGTTATACTAACCAGGCTTCTCTTTCATGTTTTTATTCGGGTTTTTTTTTTTTTTTAAATAAGATACCCTTTATCACCATTTTCTCCTGGTCACTACATTTGTCATTCATTGTAACAGCATGTGATTTGTATGTCAAGATATATTGACATTTTTGATATATCATCTAAATGTTATTTTATTATATTATCTCCTCATATATTAGATAAGTGGCTATTTCTTAAGATTTGGGAGTTATTTTTACTTCCTGTAGAGTACTTTACTTTGAAGTTGTGTTTTAGAGTCAGTCACATCTGAAAGGAGCTCTCTATCTGTGGCTTACTTCACTGTACGTAAACTATCACAAAATGCAGTCCACGCCTGTCCTCGGGCCACATTCTGACTTGATTTTCAGGAAATCTTGTTACTTTCTAAATTATTCAGAAAATTTGGAGAGTGAGGCTGATTAGATTTGGGAATCTACCTTATTATTTAACTTTTTTATTATTTTAACTTTTTTGAAGGAAAAACCAAATATACTTTAGGAGTTCCCACTTTTTGCTTTTTGGTAGTTTGGTCCAAAAGATGGGTGAAATGCTTAGAATAAATTCCTCACTACCTACCTGCCTTTTGCAGTCAGAGAAGCAATCATTTGGATGCTATGGATTTTATAAGAAAGACATAAGAGAAAAGTTCACTTGGAATATACTTAAAACAAGTGGAGAGCAATGTTGCTCAACTGTTAAAGCTTTTTCTTCACAATTCTTTTTAGCCTAGGGCGAACACATTCCTCAAAAGAGGAGCAGCTCACTTAATTAAATAGCAAGTATCATCAAGAACATTTCCTTGGGGACGCTTCAAAGGCAGTTGGGCTACTTAGGCCAGGATGAGTTCATGGGAGAATATCAAAACCTAGACCGTTCACGGAGGTGCCACGTCAACCTGGTGGTTGCTATGGTTTTGATATTAGAGAGAAAGGGAGGATACATTCAAGAATGGTGACTTCAGAGCTTAGTAACTTGGAGACAAGGCCATTTGAGTGATAGTTACAAATATTTCTGCAATAGAGATACAAAAAGACATCTAGGAATACTGAGGTCTGAGTGTTAAGCAAGTCCTTCTATAAACTTTCTGTTGCCTGGTGTTCAGGTTGAAGACAAGTAGGTGGTAGACAGTTTTATTTTAGCAAAGGGCCACTGAGGGCATGGAAAGCAAATCAGGGATGTAAGAAAGGTTGTGGGCAGATAGTGCATGGTCCCCCTCCTGCACTAGCGTGAGGTATGTGAAAAACACCCCAGGAGCATCTACAGGGAAAGAAAGACTTCCACTGGATAGAGACTGAGGGCAACTTGGACCCCAGGGCAGCATTTCCTGAAGAGGTTCCAAGAATTCTAGTCACATAGAATGATGTCACAGGTAGTAGTGCGGCTCTGGGGAACACTGGGTTAAGCTTATGTAAATGGGTCCATTACTGAAAGACTCTTCAGAGCCTGAAAGGGTGCACCAGCATGCCTCATGCATCTCCAGGAAGAGAATGTGTGATATGCATCTGTGGTAATTCCCCAGCTTAGAAGACCCACAAAACTGGTTTTTCTTCCAAATACCAGCCTTTTGAAGACCATACTTTGGGAAATTCTATTCCAGGGCTTATCATAGATTTTTTTCAAAGCTTGTTCAATGAATGAGTGAATGAATGGGTAAGTAGATAAATGAGTGAATGAAAGAATGAGTTGTAGGCAATAAGAGGCAGACTGGGAGGGTGTCAAGATAAAGAGAAAGACATGTATGGTATTTCTAATTAAAGGAATCATTTTGAGCCTGGGAATCCCTGCCTTTGGTACTTCTCTTTAATGCAGCCACCACCTTCTCTCCTGCATCCTTCCGCCACCAGCTGTAGAATAGTGAGTAAGATTTATTTATTTAGATACATCTTCTTACCTATTCTTCCTTACTTTTATAGGCAGGTCTGTTCTTACAACTCCCAAATGGACCTCAGTGAAATCAAAGTTGTTGAAGGGTGTAGAGTTGATGATACCATGAAGTTCTGAGATCTTCTGGGCAGAGGGTCCCTGGGTTCCTGGGTCCCCAGGTCTCCTTCATGTTTACATGAAATATGCATATATGTGTATGACCTTCTCTCTTCCATTTCACTTGGCTATGTCCACGTCCATGCTTATTTTTTTCACCCTGATAAGGATAAGGATAAGGAAGCAAATGGCACTCTACAAAGTGTCATAGTAAACTGGCTGGAGAATTATGTGCTATATTAATGCAACTTCTGAAAATGAAAAGCCTTAACCTCCACTATACAGGTGATGGGAAGAAGGAAAACAGACAGACAGATAATCAGAAAGGTCTCCATAGCAAACAAGATAGTATAGAACTATTCACAAAGCAAAGGATTTAGCTAAGAAACCTACAAGGCTTTGAATGGTTTTCAAGAATGGCCTGCCAGGGAATACCAACTTTAGCGTAACCATGACTTTCCTTGCTTTATTTCAGAACGCCAACCAGGTACCTCTATGGCCAACTCTAATGCCGTCCCTTCAAGTTCAGCTGGAATCAGCAAGGAACTGATCGATCTGCAGCCCCTCATCCAGTTCCCAGAAGAAGTTGCCAGTATCCTAACGGAACAGGAGCAGAATATTTACCGAAGGGTCCTGCCAGTTGACTACCTTTGCTTCTTAACCCAGAACTTGGGCACGCCAGAATGCCAGAGCTCCCTGCCCTGCCTCAAAGCATCTATCTCAGCATCAATTCTCACCTCTCATAACGGAGAGCACAATGCCCTTGAAGACCTTGTGATGAGATTTAATGAGGTAAGGAACCACTCTTGGATGTTTTTGTATTTGAAATGCCATTTGTGATTCTTAAGCATAATTCTGTCTTAGTTTGTCTGTCATTGATATCATCTCTCTGTCTCGCCACTTCCATCATGGTGGGTTTTCTTTCCAGGCATTAAACTCAGCAACACACTTTCTCCTTCTCACTGAGCCACCTGCCCTTAAGCCTAATTCCCTATCATTGGCAAGCCTAATTCCCTATCATTGGCAAGTGCACCAACCTTTCTCCTTTCTAGTGACCAACCATGCAACCTCAGTCTTTCCTCTACCCATTCCCACTAGTGTTTTTGAGACTCAATCACATTTTAGAGTTTTGACAACATGATCCCTAACCACATCTGGCTAGCCCACTCCCTGCCCCATTATCAGATTCCTCAGCAGAACGTTAAAAGCCAACACACCTGGGGTTCCATGCTTAGAGGACCATGAAGCTATTCACTGAGGGACATGGGTCACCCCCGTCCCCCCTCTGCATCCTGTGAATGTCTTCAGCCCCAGAGAGTCACTTCAAAGCCTCTTAGACCTAGCCAGAAGCCAACTCTAAAGAGGACAGGTGTGGCTGGAGTCTGGGAACACTTAGGATGGAGCATCTTACAGGGCTTGGGGTTGTATCTGCTAAAACTGTAGGTTCCTGTTCCCACCCCAAGCTGAGTGAGACAGACTCTCTAAGAGTCTGCATGAAAGATTACAAACGATACTGACCCAAAGTTGATTTTTTTTAAATGGTATTCTTGATTTCCCTTACTGATAAAAATGGACTGGAAAACGAAACTTCCCGTAAACTGAGTGATTTTATTAGTGGATTTTACTGTATTTTATGAAGTATTTTAAATTTCTATATCTACTCACGCTCACATTTTTAAGACCCTATTCTTGTCCCTTTAAAAAAAAATTTGACCTAAACTTAAAAGTGAATTGCCAGAACTTTTAAAATCTAATTTTATATTAAACTTGGATTTCTTCCACTCAGTGCTATAACTTTGGGAATCAAAGATGAATCAGTGATATCACTAATTCAGAGCTAGTGATGATATGACCCACAGCTGGGTTGAGGCTTGCTTTGGACTATCTCTGAAAATAGTTTAGCTAAGCAACTTCAGAACATAAACAAGATTTCTGGGAAAACACTTAAACTACTTAAGAGAACAGTCTGTTTTTCAAGTATTCTTAAGCATGTATTTTCATACAAATTATGGGTATGCTGATTAAAAATCATTCTTAAATAGTCATTACAAGCAGATCCCAAATAAACTCCACCAGAAAACCTAAGACAGCTAAATTCCAGTTGTTTTGTATACCTTAAACTAGAAAAGCTACACTGCATTTAAAAAGATTAATTACACTCAGATTTTCACCTATTTAGAATGGTTTTGCTTCTAAATATTATAGCTTTCTGTCCTGGAAAGAAAGGTTAGGAAAGAGTTTGCATTTATATAGTAGGTACAATAAACCAGACATTTTCACATTCTTAATCCCATTTAATCCTTATGACCCTTGGCATTATGTCTGTTTTGCAGATGAAGAAAATGAAGCATACACAGCAAAATAAGTAATGACAGTGCTAAATTCTGACCCATACAGTAAAATAAATATGCCTGAGTCCATACTAAAATGAATAAATATTAGTCAGTCAGTGCGGTGGAGTAGCAGCTCTTAGTTATCAGAGAGTTCCAAATATAGGAAAAAGAAAATGACAATTAGATTTCCTACAGTGTTTATTACAGGCAAAAAACACTGATGTGTTCTAAAATGAATGAGTGAAAGTAAATGTGATAAGAGGCAGGATATTTGCCTGGGCTCAGAGCAACTCTGCACAAGATATTTATTAATTACAAAGGGAAAAATAGAACAGTAGTGGGAAACCAGTAGTAGACTATCTCAGCCAAGTGATCAAGGATAACAAGACCAGTAATGAGATTATCAGTGTATATCCCCTGATATGTACAGTGCCCTGAAGAGCATGTCACATCATTCCTATGGCATCCTTGTCTCAAATGCAAACCTAAATCTAATTATGAAACCAGTACCAGGTAACCCCACATCTAGGGACATTTTATTCTTCAGAAAGTATCAAGATCATGAAAGAAAACAAAAAAATTGAGTAATTATCAAGACTAGAAGAGATAAGAATGCCTGCTAAGAGCCAGGCGTGGTGGTGCACGCCTGTAATCCCAGCACTCTGAAGGCTGAGGCAGGAGGATCCTTGTGAGTTTGAGACCAGCCTGGGCTACAAAGTGAGCTCAAGGCCAGCCTGAACTGCATAGCGAGACCTTGTCTCAAAAAGACAGAAACAAATAAATAAAAATAAAAAAGAATACCTGCTAAATGCAATGTGGGATCCTATCGGATACTGAATTAGAAAAAAAAAGACATTAATGTAAAATGTCTTACCCTAGTAAGGCTTGCAATTTAGTTAGTATTACTGTATAGTAATAATACTGTATAGTATTATTGTATTACTTATTTTCATACTTACACTATGATTAACAGTAAGAGAAGCTGGATGATGGGTACACTGTACTGGTACTCTACTGTTTTTGCAACTTTCCTGCTACAAAAAAAAAAAAAATGTAAATCTTAAAGTACTTCAGAATACAAAGTTTTAAAAGAAAGCAGTGAGCTCCGAAAGGGTGTGTCACTTGTCCATGGCCACACAAAATGCAGGTTGGTCTGTCTTTAGGGTCTGCGTCTTCTCACCCAACTGGCTCTCTACCTGTTAAATGTTCAAGTTTGTAATAAAACCAGAATTGCTGATTTAGAACTTAAGAAGTCTTGGGTCACCTGTCTGTCTTCCCTCACTCTGTCTGCTTTTTCACTAAATTTCTCAGGCATCTCTCTTTTTTCTGTTCCTCTTTCTGTTTCTATTTTTTTTATCCAGTTTCCTATTGTTTAGACTTCTACTGTCCCTTTCTCATCATTCATTCATTCTTACATTCATTCACTCAAGAAGTATGTGGTGTGCACCCACTGTGCTCTTGCCATCTCTTTTTTCCATAGGATTGGTCAAACATAGTTTTAAAAATAAAACATTGGCAATATCTGATGGAACTTGACAACATTATCGGCCCATCCTTCAGTTCTATCAAAATGGGACAGACAAAATAAGTACACTTTCATCAAAGGGAGGGAAAATGTGTATTCCTTAGAATGCTGCAGTAGCCTACAGAGAAGAGAAAGAACCTTAGCTCCACCACAGCAGTGCTAGTCCTCGGGGGAGATGTGAGTGATGTGTCCGCGCATCAGTCCTTGGCTCCCGTCTATCCAGCACCTGTTAGGACGAGGACGAAGTGTGCTGTGCCCTGAGGAAAGTAATTAACAGTCTGCAGGGCCAGAGTGACCAGGCATGGACACAAATGATTACCAAAAAAGGCAGAAAGTCCATGCAGTGAGAGTGGTGCAGGCTGAGGCATCGAGGTGGGGATCAGAGCTCCTTCTGCTCAGCTCTGGAGTCTGGGGCTGGACCTTGAAGGGGAAGATCATGGGGAAGGTGGCACAGGGCAACAGGACAACAACCAGACAGTTTCCATCATGGCAAGACTCGTAGCTGTGGGAAGTAGCTTGCTCCTGATTGTCAGGAGGATGTGATCGTGAGCTAGAAGTTTCCCACATTCTATCAAGTCTTTTACACAATGACTTAACTGTGGTAAGGGGAAAGGGACAAAAAATTCCTCATGCCTTTGGGGCAATGTTGCATAATGTTTGTTCTTAGGAAAGTATGGCTAAAATGCTGTTCAAAGTACAACCATGAAATAACTGGAAAGGTTTAGTTGACATGAAGGCAGGCCAGGAGATAAATCATGGGTAGTTTGCACTGTGGCTCGGAAGCAGTGTTTCTCTCCAACCTTCTGTTGTCCAACAAGACCGCAGTGTATAACACATAAACTTCTTAATGCAGGCTCCTTTTCTTCTTGAAAATACACAGGTCCAGAGGCATAGCTCAGCGGCACAGTGCCTGCCTGGCAAGCACAAGGTTGTGAGTTCGATTCCCAGTACCAAAAAAAAAAAAAAAAAATACACAGAAGCCCATGGGAGAGGGCAGTCCTTAGCAGGCGGGAGTCAAGATCTGCACTGGGAGCAAGCTTACTTGGTTGGAGAGACAGGTCCTTCTGGACCCTCTTAATCTGGACCCCTCTCCCTGGCTATATGTTTATCTAAAGCTCCCATGAGACGGTATTCTCTTTCTGCCTTTACTTCCTGCTCACCCATGAAGTCTCTTGCTTTGACAGTCTCAAATTATGTTTTTCTTTTCCCTCTCCTTTTTCTTCTTCTATCCAGCTTACACTGCTTTTGATCTTTTTTCTCCAATAATAAATTCCAAGCCATTTATCTTTTTTTAAAAAAGATAGGTATTTCTTTTTCCTACTTCTTTATCAAAGAGTTCACCTGCAGCTGAGAAGAGATGAGAAGAAGATAGAAATTTTTCACCCTCACCTCCTTTGCTTCCTGTCCCATTTTTTACTAAGAAGCACCATGGGGAGCTATGCCAGGAGAGCAGAGGATTCTGGGGTCAGAGTTCTGAGTCTCTACTCCTCAAGTCTCCTTAACAGATAGAGCCTCTGCCTTTGTCACATTGTTCACCCTGTGATGACCGTTGGGGTTGGAACTCTTCATTGTCTGCATCCATGGCTAGTTCTCAAAATCTGTCACCAAAGTGACAGCCATACAGAGGTGTGGCTGTATAGCCTGTCACTGCTCACAACACTGCTGGGCTCTCTCCTGTGTGACAGATTGTGGATATCTACGGCCGGGGAATCATTTTCAGCTTTAAGAGTCCATTGGCAGGTTCACTTTTTCCTGTGCCTTGAGAGGGAAGTTTTTGCTTATTGAGTGGTTCTTGGCAAGACCATGCATCTAGGTCCTCTTTTGGACTGGCTGATCCAAGGACAGGTCATGAGCCCTAGACTGAGGCCATAGTAACGTGGGACCCCAGAAGCTTCTGCATCTGGGTCTGGGCCCTGGGTGTCTTTCCCCCACCC